ATATGACTCGCCTTGGAGACAACGGTTAAGGCTGCGATCAAATAGTTTAAACTGGGTTCCGTAAGATCGAGAGTGCCATCGGTTGTTCAAAAACGCCACTTCAGTGGCAAAATTACTTCAGCAGTGGAAGTGAGAGGGAGTGTGCAGAGAACAGAGAAAACTGGAGGATTGTCATCTGGTGCTCGTGGTACACAAAACAAGCGCAAATCAGATAAAAGATGGTTTTGTATTATTCTGCTTTGCATAATAGAAACAGTAAGGGACTAATGTTACCAGTAGAAATAAACTGTTCAGTGAAATTAAATTTGTCATTTTTCCGGTTGCCTAAGTTTTAATGACAATGTTATGTTGCAGAATCTTATTGCATCCATTTTGAATCACAGCATAAACGGAATTCAGTAAATTGTTGTAACGCAATGGGTCTTTCGCATGATACATCACCACCCTCATTTCACTCCACTGGCTTTCTGTGGTTTAACGCTGGGGTTTTCCGTTGTTTTTGTTTTATCGTCTACGGTTTTTGTGTGCTGCCATGAGTCGAGCTTTCGGTTCATGTCGCTGTTTGATTAATTTGTTGACGATAGATAGGACGACATTTACCGCATCGTCACAGAGTTGATAACCTTTGTGATCGTCATTTAATGGCCGGGTGATTAATACTTCTTTGACGATTTATATCGTCTTGCGCGAGAAGAACCAGAGATCGACTTTCCTGTGTCATGTGCTGTACGACACTTTACTTTCAGCTGATGGAGGGCAAAGCTCAATTTGGACCGGCTTGTTTCTTTTGAGTGTGTTGAGTGACGATATTCTCTATTTCTTTTATGTTATTGTTTCCGCAATTACGTGCGAATTATTGTATCCAGAATTATGTAGTAGGTTATTATATTAAGCTTTTTAGGCTTTACGTTATACGTTGTCGTTCTGTTTAGTATTTAATATTTTTTGTAATTTCTTGATAATTTTTATATCAAACGATAATAGCTATGCTTTATGTTGAATGCTTTCATCTTTGACATTATTTGCTGCAGTAAATTAATTTAAACTGCGTTATTCTGTGGTATTTAATGCTATTAATGAATTTAAAATAAGGCATTGCTGTTATATAGATTTAATCCTGTGCTTTATTTTTTTATCAGATGTCCTGTGCTTAATTTTTGTTTACTAAATGCTTTGTTTTTTCTTTTATATATTCAGAGCCTAATGCGTTAGCGATATAAATGCTATCTATTTATTATCTGTACATTTATGGGAAATAAAATCGAGTTTTCTGAGTTTATGGCTTTACATTAAGCCTTAGCATGTGAAGAGCTCTCAGTTAATTATCGAAGCATCAGGAAAAAGTGAGCTGAAATTAATATCTTTCAATAATCAACTCAGTGTTTTATTTTCAGAGAAACTGTTTGATGACG